TCTCAGAGACAGTTCCCTGTGTCTCATTTCAATGTCAAACCACCATACCCCACACTTATGACATTGCAGGTCACATGATCAAAATTCAGATGTTTGGCCATTGGTTCACATGAACCAATATTTATGATGGTTGCAATGTCCTGGGGTCATGTGATCCTCTTTTGTGACCTTCGGACAAGCCAAGTCAGTGGGGAAGCCATATTCACTTAACAACCACGTTACTTACTTAATTTCTAAACTAAGTGAGGTGGGGATCAAGAAATATCTTATATAGGCTTATGTATTCTTGTCTATAAATCAGATGTGGAAATTCTAATATTTCTTTCCCAGGTGTTGCTATAATTACAACTACACTGAAAGTATCCTGGAGTCTGTACACTAAGTTCTCTCCTTCTCTTTTGGTGGGTTTAGGAAGGGTTTCACTAACAGGAAGATCTCTCCTCAAATCTTGCTCCCAGCTATGGTAGCAAACTCTGCTGCTGGAAGTTTTTCCAATATCAAAAGAAAATTGAAGGAAAGAGAAATTTGTTTAACACGTCAGGTTCCACTAAACCGCAACCGAACAAACCACCAAAGAACACAGTCCTGGGCCAAAATGGCATTAACTCGTTGCAGAACCATGGCACGAACCGACATGCAATAAATGAAATAAAGTCAGGGCTACCCATCCAGTGCTCCCCTCCACCTTTTAAGCATGCCCTTCAGCCCCACCCAGCCACACGCGCACCCCCCACCGTTTCTCACGCGGAAACCAGTACACAGTCAGGAAATCATTAAACAGTCCACACTGAGTGGCCCGTAGGCGCCTACAGCTGACTCGACTGCTTCGCAGCTGTGAATTCAGCGGTGCAGGCAACCTTTCTGCAGCTCAAGTATTCCAGCTGCTTCAGAAGGAGCATTTTTACCCGGGTCCAGTCCCAGTAAGAATGGCGTGGTAGTGGTGGCCGTGGTAGTACGGCCGTGCAGCTCTTTGAGATGGCCCAATATTCTTCTTTCCCCACACCCCAGAAATGGCAGCCCTGATGCATCAGGGCTGACATAAAGAATAAGAAGCAGAAAGTGAGGGGAAAAGCAACCAGCCTTGCTACCTTTCTGCATTACCAACATGAATCCAGAAAGACTAATATTGTGTTCTTCTAGTGAAAGAATTCACACAGACCTTCCTACACCTGTGAGACTGCTTTGATGTATTGCAGTAGTGAAATGCCAAGGATATTCTGATAAAAAGACAGCAACCATTTGGCACATTAGTTATATAAAGGAGAATTTTTATGTTTTGTTTTTTTTAATTTCCACTACAATATGCATATCCATCGTTTAAGTGAATATTCAAAGAATTCTGGGACAACATACTGAAAATTACTAACAGATCCACTTAGAAATCTAAGAATCAATAAATCATATTTTGTTTGAAGCTTGAAATCAACATCCTGGAAGAGAACAATCTGATCAATAATTTACGAGTGATGTAAGAAAAAAATGGTGTTTGATATTATCTAGGAAATATTTTATCTGGGCTATTTGTAATAAGAGTAAAATAACATGGAGGGAATTGATAGTATCTTTTTAATAGCAGATACGTTAAAGAAAGAATTCTGTAAGATAATTTCTAGTGTGCGGTGAGGCCATTTTTTAAAAAGTAAGACAGAAACATTCAGAAATATTTACTCAATATGTTCTCTAATGTACATTATTGCACTTTTTATTTTCTATATTTCCCAGTTCTGATCTGGCATGAATTAACTTAGTCCTTCTCAAACTCTTCCTACAAGCAGGAAGAGGATTCCTTTTAACATTCCTAAGTGAGGGAAGGAAGGAGGGAGAGGAAAAAAGGAAGAAAGGAAATGTTTTAAACACTGATTTGAGTTCTCATTTTGCGCATTTACTACATCAGGAGTAGTCAATTATAGCCTTTTTAGGATGAAGATTAACTCTCTCTATATCTATATATCTATGTGTATATATATATCTTTAAAGTTTATTAATACAATTGTTGTATATTTTCAAATATTAATTTAACTAACATTTATTGCTTTTTAGGGAACTAACTATTGCCCCAAATACTCAACATTGTGCCATCCAATTTTAGTATCACTACAAAAGTCATTCCAAAGGCTGGGTATCAGAGAATGTATCAGAGAATCAAATTAAGCTTTGGATCATTTTCCTCACTAAAAAAGAGAACAAGTATAATATTTTGACTCATTTGCTTAATTGGCATCTCTTTATATTGTTTTAGAACACATGTGTAGAACCTATCACCTTTTAGTCATCTTTATGCTGAAATACTGAAAATTTCCAAAGGTCTCACAAACTGTTAAGCGTTGCTTTAAGCACTTGAACAATCTACAAGTTAAACCAAAACACTTGGCAGAAATATGGCAGCCTAAGTTTTCAAAGGGATCCATAGGCATGGAATTCTTTTAGGATGGTGAAAATGACCACACAGAAGCCAAATGACACAGCAACTCCATTAACTCTATACCACATCACCCGCTTACAGTGACCATCTGTTCTGTGCTGTGTGACCAATTCCCATGGGGGGGGGGGGGGGCAGATGAGTATTTTGTGGAGTGGGTCAGTCTTTCCCCTCAAGAAATACCAATTCTTGGTACGGGGGGGGCGGGGGGGGGCTGGGAGCCACACTCACGTGCTGAATTTTTCCAAGCTCTCATGAGCATTACGCTTCTCTCTCTCGTAGGCGTTTTCTACTTCTCTAAATTTGCCTTTGAACATTTCCAAGTCAGAGATTGCTTCTGCTTGGCTGGCCTTCTCCACTTGCAAAGCTCCTTCAAGGTCTCGGATCCGTAGCTGCAAAAATCACAGGAAGACAACCATCAAAACTACGAACTTCGCTCCGTGTCAGATCAAAGCGAGGCGAGACCAATTGGGTAGGCCAAAATCATTCCGCACATAGAGAGAAAGAGATTTATGTACATATAAAGCCAGGGTAAGTGTAGCTTTTCACCCACCCGATCACCATAGTTAGGTAAAAGAAATACTGGCTACGATGAACTGGGATTAACGCTGACAGGCAATCACAATGTGGTTAAGGGAATGGGTGAAGTCAGGGTCATGTATAATCTTCTCCAATCCCAATTGCCCAATCAGAGTGAGCTTTTGCTGCCCTTAACCATGACTCTGTTGGAGCATGATCAATAGAAAAATCAAAGCACTGAGACATAATACACCAAAGTGCAAACAGTTCGAAACATTTGAAAAGAATCATATGGATCCAACAGATTCTAAACGGGAAAAAAAATGAGAGAGAAAACTGATGGGGGAAAAAATGCCTATCGGCATTGCTTAGCTTTTCCTTTGTCAGGAAATGTACATCTTTCTTAGTTATTATTGGATAAACAGTGCACAAACAATTTTCCCATTAGACTTTAGGCTGGTGTTTTGTACACTGTTCTAGTACTTGGCGGTGAGGCAAAAGATCTCAGTGATATAAATTACTTAGGACACAGGTTTAAACACATTCCTTCACAGGGCCTTGGTTCAGAATTTGACAAGAGAACTGAGAAAGCACGTAGAATCAACATGGCAAGCTTCTCAGATTTATTTGCTCGGAAACATATACATTTCATGACTGCAATGGAAAAGAGACATGGCATCCTTTGGGCATCATTTTGCCTTGGTATTTGTAGTCCGTAATCCCTCTAGATTCATAGAACATAGAATAATAGAGTGTTGGAAGGGACCTCAAAGGTCTTCTAGTCCAACCCCCTGCTCAAGCAGGAGGCCCTATATCATTTCAGTCCAATGGTTGTCCATTGTGAAAGCTACCCAGAAGCTATTCCATTCTCTTGCTATTTTCTGCAGATCAGCCTTAAGAATTCAGTTCAGTTCCTAGACT